TTACAACCGGTTAAATTACAATTCACGTTTAAAATCGTTATAAAGCAAGTTGGCCAGCAGCACTGGAACTTTAAAACCCCCTCGAGAAAAAAAAATCAATGCTTGGGGACGGAGTCCTCAGGGAATTACTTTTTTAATTACTATCCGTATATCCTCTAGATCTTAAGCTTTAAAATGGTAGATCAAGAGTAAAAATAGGTTAAGCAGGAATGGTTGGAAAAGGGATGTTACAGTGGAAACCTTATTATATTAAGTATATAGATGTTATATTTCTAACTAGTGTACATGTTGCTCGAATTCAAGCAGTTGCAAAGTATTACAGGAGTTATTTTAAAACGAATAACAGTCATATTTACAATGAGTTTAAAAGAGTCAACTCAAAGATTACCGGTGTGTAACTCATGGAGATACTCACGATGTATATAACAGTAATCAACCTATTTTGTAAATATTGTATTATATTTCATAACCAGGTATTGCTTTTTAATGATTTCTACAAACAATTCCTGACTTATAGCTAGCCATATAAGGTTGTCCATGTTTATCTTCGTTATTGATAAACCTAAAGCATTCCGGCCGGTTTTCTCCTTCTAGCAATTAAATTATACTTACTTACTTACTTACTTACTCCTGTGGCCACACAAATCCAAGGAGATCTTTGGCCTCGCCAACAAGGTGCCTCCATCTTTCTCTATCTTCTGCCTCGTCCAACTCTGCGCCCAGTCTTCCGATGTCTTCAGCAACCTGGTCATCCCATTTAAATCTCGGTCTCCCCAGTGGGCGTCTTCCTTCAGGCTTTCCCCTCCACACTCTTCTTATACTGCTGCCTTCTTCTCTTCTTCTAACATGCCCAAGCCATCTGACTCTCCTACTTCTAATTAAAGCTACAATATCAGGTCTTTTATAAAGGTCCCTTAACTCTTTATTCTTTCTAATCCTCCACGCCCCATCTTCCAAAGTTGGTCCGTATATTCTCCTCAGTATTTTATTCTCAAAAGTTATTAATTTTCTCTCTTATGTTCTTTGTGAGGGTCCATACTTCCGAACCGTAGAGAAGAACAGGTTGGATTATTGCCAGATATATTCGAACCTTGGTGTTTCTTGACAGGAGTCTGCTTTTCAAAAGTTTTGATAAGCTCCAATAGCATCTATCAGCTCCATTCAATCTAGCTTGTATTTCCTGATCCATCTTATTCTGGCTGTTTATTATCACACCCAAATATTTAAATTCTTCTGTGACAGAAAATTTATAACTCAAACATTCCAGTGTTGAGGTCACATGTTCTGCCTGCCTTCCTATCTTCATAAATTTTGTTTTATCTTCATTCACTTGTAACCCTACCTTTCCTGCTTCTGTTATGAAGGCTTCAGCTAATACTTTTAGGTCATTTTTCTTTTCAGCCAATAAGGCTACATCATCAGCAAAAGCCAGTACATTGATTTGTCCTTCAATATTCGCACCCAACTGAATAGATCTGGTTGCTTTCAAGGCGTCTTCAAGGGCAAAGTTGAACAGAAGAGGAGACAGTCCATCTCCTTGTCTTACCCCAGTATTGATGTCAAAAGTGTCTGTAAGTTCTCTCTCTATCCTAACTTTACCTCTTGAACCCTCCACACACATCTTTGTCAACCTTATAATCTTTTCTGGAACATTACTTTTTCTTAATATTGACCATAGTTTTGATCTTGTAATGCTATCATAAGCTTTCTTAAAATCAATAAACAGAACATATAGATCTTTGTTATATTCCCAGTATTTTGAGGCCAGCTCTTTCATGATAAATATCTGGTCTGTTGTCGACTTTCCCTTCATAAATCCTGCTTGGTGCTCTCCTTAAAATTAAATTATACAGCTGATCAAAATGTAAACAATTATGTTCTTCATAAGGATAACATGGTAACTTTCAAAGCCACTGAGGCAGATCCCAAGACACTTTTTCAAAAATGTAAGGCTAGTTTGCAAATCTACGAGACACGCTCTTTCCAATGAGACTTCTTTCGATACAATCGGTTAATAAATGGCGAAGGAGTTCAACCGACAAACTTCGTGTTCGCGTAATTATATAGATGCCTCTAGTTAAATATGGTAAATAATCTATGATTGTTAAATATTTTCGGCCTTATACAAATGATTATGAAACAGATTTTCATAACTGTTATATTAGATTTGTATTACAGTTGTTCTGTAATATTCAGTGTAATTGTGATTTGTTATAATAATGCTCTCTTTCATCTAAAAATAAATACAGATGGCATTGATTTTTTACTTGTTTTAATGTTCTAAAACAACATGTGATTTAACAATGAATTAACTATTAGTAATTTTGTTAGTTGAAAACATGAACATCAAGAATGAAGATCCCTCTCTCTCTTTTGTACTGAAAAAATGTAAAGTTCTGTGAAATCACTCAAAGTTTAATTGTTATTAAAACTACTTGTCAATTGTATCTTAGTGTTCTAATTTGAAGAATCAAACTCCGCTTATCTTATAAATACAGTCCACTACACACGCTATCGAAATTCTACAACAGTTATAGTTAAAAAAAACACGGATTTTGTAATAGTTTTCTGTATTCGTACCTTATGATGTTGGCAACTCTACATGACTAGTAATATTTACCATCCTTATCGTGAAGGCGATTTCTATGAAACACTACTCCTCTGTTAATAATGGATGGATTTTTACAAATGACGTGTCAACATTAAGTATTTGTTGTGTAGGCGCCCCCTTTCACCAATTCCTGTAAAATGTCCTCGGGCTTTGTCCCACTGGCCATCAAAATTCCAATGTATTTCTTATGAAGAAAATATTTCGTTTACTTAAACAGACAAATAATTTGTATTAATTACAGCTGTTCATGATACACATAGTTAATTACGACACATAATAGAGGTTTTGTTTTCAGGGCGAGTTCGTTTTCAGTTTCGAGAACTGGAGTGGAGTGATTGATTAGGTATACATTATCTTCCAGTTGACTCTTTTAAATCATCGGATAATATGACTGTTGTTCTTTTTGAAATAACGCCTGTAATACTTTGTAATTGCTCGAATTCGAGCAACAGGTGCACTAGTTATCTAAAAGCTGCGTATTACCTATAACATTTAACAAACTATCCTCTTAATTCGTGATGCAATGACAATTAACTTAAAACTAGGAAACAAAGAGAGTAGAAAATTAGACAAAGGCGTTCTCTAACAGGTGGTTTGATAAATAATTACTTAAGCTTTGTTATCAGAGAAAGCCGTGATAACGTTGCACAAAACTCAAGTTACCGCCTCGTTATTGTGGTACAAAAGCTAGACTTTGGAGAAAGAAAACCAGCCTTTGTCACAACTTCTTTCTTTTTAAATCTAAATCATTAAGTCGATCTTCTTTTTCCCAAGCAAACCGTTAAAATTTTTGGAAAAACTAAGACGGAATGATCAGTGTGGAATATGTTCCCATTAGGTTTGCTCTTGAAATATCAACCTTTATAACGATGTTTTAATTAATAACTGAAAAACATGTACGAAATAGCACAGTACCATTATTTTAAAACCAAGCATTTAATCCACATTTCAATAATGGTCCATGGTAACTTTTTGTGTATATTTCCAGAATGTGTTATCGTTATTCCTTCAAGATAAAATAAGTCAGTATTACTTTTTAAACATAAGTTCAATAAATATATCATGCAACAATTTAATTAGTACTGAAGTCTATACTAGTCTAAATATAGCAGATATTACATAATTTTGTATGGATGTTGTTTTTTTTAAACAAGTATTACAACAATATTAAAAATTATAAGGGTTTTAGATCTTTCAGTACACAACTGAGCATATTATTTAGAGTATGTTGTCTTTTTGTCATGATACAAAATAATTCTAGGCAGTATCGATTAGGTTAAAGTTTGAAAGACCTCTAGCAAGAATAAAAATTATTAAGACTTTTGCGTATAAACAACATTTTGAAAAATACTTAATGAAATACAAAATATGGTACTCAATAATTTGAGAGTTAAGCAGCAAAGAATAAGAAAAGGCTTAAAAGGTGTGCTATTTCAACATTTGGTTTGTGGACACCGGAGGTCTATGAGTATGACCATTGACTATACACATAAATTTATCACTTAACACAGAACATTGTCATTAGTTGGTGACCATCTCAACAGATTGCACCACGTTTTTTTGGCTTTTTGGCTTCAAATTTTTACATTACATGGGAAGTCTATTTCTGTGTATAGTCAATGGTATGACTTAAGGGTTCCACAAAATGATTTGAACCAGTATTAAGAGACTTGTACCCGAACGTCTGATTTTTTTATATAATGGTTTTACTTTTTGTCAACCGTGTGATCTTGAATAGCCTAACCCATTTATTTAAAAGTATGTAAAAATACACGTTATAATTATTACAAAACTTGCTAAAAATAAATGAAGGGTAACTCCGGCTTAATAATACTTGAGAGGGATCTTTGAATACATATCCCCTAATTTTTATAGTTTGACATCCCTTGGTCAAAGAATAAAACCTTGGGTCCCAAAATGAGGAAGTACTTACAAAACCACAAATATAATATTAGCTTATATTCAATAAACTTTATTAAAATCGAATTAATTTTGGACCAATTAAAAAAAGTCATAGATTACTCAATTTTAAGAAAATATATGCCAGTGGCGTTGCTATTACTGTACACGACCAACGATGGGACTTGATAAGTAAGACAAGGAAACAAGTATTCCTTTTTAGGTTTGCGGTCCCATTTTAGCACTCCATTTTCCCACTCATACGGGCGTCAAAGGTCTGTGCATGTAAAGTATCAAGAAAACCAGCGGTGAGTTAGTACAATGCAAGAATGCACTATACTGATACATTTTAAGTGACGAGTTCGGCACACGAACTCAAGACATCACGGTCTGTATAATAACTCGCACCACTGAAGACGTTATCATTACAAAGTTAAACCTAATTATTGAAATACATACTTTAGGTGGCACAATTAATCGTAGTACTTACGAGACACCCCGAGTTGTCGCAGCTGAGGTGTAGTCCCAGGATATCAGCACTAACAGGAGCAGTCCCTTCATCTCGAACCTGGAACATGGCGAGTTGTAGAGTTTAAAATTTGTGTACAATATTGTTTTATTTATCACACATTTGTGTGAGACGTCAAGCCTCTATGTTTGAAAATGAAATTATCAGCACCAGTGTGCGGTATAATAGTGTGAAATATCCGTAGATTTTTTATCCAATCACCTGAAAGTGATGTTTCTGATCAGTTTTCAGTTGCCTTTGAATGAAGCCATAGCCTCCTCTAAAACAAGGCCACGATATTGGTGTGGCAACGTCGCTTCGGCCAGCCTATTGTCATACAACAGTAACAACAATGTGTAAACATAACCATTAGTCGGGGGGCAAACTGTATTCCGTGGGATTTTTTGTGAAGGGAATGTGTGACTATGTGGAATCTCTTTGTTATATGTCACATAATGGTGTAGTACCGGGTGTTTACCCTCAAATTGCAGGGTTTGGTTTTTATGACGTCTTAAATCCAAGATGGCCGCCATGTGTGACATCTATTTGTTACATTAATAATAACTCTTTCCAGAGTAAAATAATCAAATTTTAATTTAGACCATTGAGTTCAGCTCAAAAAATCAAACAATTTGGTGTTTTGAATCATTGCTCTATGACCATTGGTTACCGAGATATTGAAGGTGGAAAACACAGAACATTGGCCCCAAGCAAGACCCCACTACCCCCATGTTATCCTTATGGGGAAAAAATAAAATTGTATATCTAGCTTATTACTCAGCATATCTTAATAATAATTGGTATATGGCTTCATTTAGTAGAGATCTACTTGATTATGGCCTAAAATCCCCCATTTTTACATTTCTGTGGCAGCAAACCTGCATACTCACTTCCCATGTTATTCTTATGGAAAATTTTGTGCATGCTTGTTTATGAACATACGTGTTGAGAAATGTTAATGTGTGGCCCCATTTTAATTATTTATTGAAGCATTTGCAATTCGTTGAGTATACAGGTCTGCTTCTACGGGGGTATTGTAACTATAAACAAATTACAGGTATTAGAAAATAAAATAAATTAGACCATAGTTGTGAGGCATATGTAATTTTGTAGGATTTTGAATGAAGCAATTGTATGATTGTTGGCAATAGATAGGTAATGACATGTCTGAAAGTGTGGCCAAGCTGGTGTTTTCGGCCGCCATCTTGGATCCGCCATATTGGATATTAATAACTTTTTTTATGCAATGCTAGTGTTGTGACACATCATTATGAACTAGATTTTCACGCTGATTTCAATGCTGAAATATGTTTTAAATATCTTTTGTCGTTTGGAAGAGATATTCAAATAAAAACTCTCCTTTATACATTTCTTACGGACGTTTTGTAAGGTCATCAGTGTTACAATTTTAGACGTGGAACCTCTTATATGCCTTATATGTCTTTATATGCCTCATCACACATAATTTACTTTGTACTGACACCAAACAAATGTTGTAACCCTGATGACCAGCCCTGCATGTCTTTAATTGCTTTAACCAAAGACAAATTTCAAAATAAAAATAATTATTAATAATAAATAAAGGTCCATGATTAATTTTCAATTAGTCAGATTTCATTTAGTGATTAATCAAATTTCAAACCAACCATTTACTGAGTAATTTGAGACTAGAATGAACCCTTTGACGTATTAACAACCCGAGATATAAATATTTTAATAAAAACGGATTTGGAAAAAGTTAAATTTAATATTGTGTTGTGGTTCATAGCTCAACTCTAACTCGTCCGATTTTAATGATCGATAGCTTAAATAAAAGATCTTACATCACTAAATACTTTAATAATAGAACGAATTACAAGCAATAATAAGAACTGGATATATGAGAAAAATAATCTGAAAAATAATCAAAGTACGAAACGTCCGTAAGAAATGTATGGGGGGGGGGGAGTTTTCTTTTCAATATATCTTCGAAACGAAAAACTATATTTACAAACGGTTTTCGGAATTGGAATTAGCGTAAAAATCTAGTTAAGGAGTCACAACACCAGCATTAGATTTAAAAATTTGTATTAGTATCCAACATGGTGGATCCAAGACGGCGGGCCAAAAACACTAGCTAGGTCACACTTTCAGACAAAACACCCGGTAGTACACGATTCTATATGTCATTACCTATCTATCACCACCACTCATACAATAATTGCTTAATTCAAAATCACAAGAAATTACATATGACCCATAACTATAGTCTATTTTATTTTATACCTATCATTTGTGAGATTTTTTTATTGCTACAATACCCCCGTGGCAGCAGACCTGTATACTCAACGAATTGCAAATGCTTCAATAAATAATTAAAATGGGGCCACACATTAACATTTCTCAACACGTATGTTCATAAACAAGCATGCACAACATTTTCCATAAGAATAACATGGGAAGTGAGTATGCAGGTTTGCTGCCACAGAAATGTAAAAATGGGGGATTTTAGGCCATAATCAAGTAGATCTCTACTAAATGAAGCAATATACCAATTATTATTAAGATATGCTGAGTAATAAGCTAGATATACAATTTTATTTTTTCCCCATAAGGATAACATGGGGGTAGTGGGGTCTTGCTTGGGGACAATTTTCTGTGTTTTCCACCTTCAATATCTCAGTAACCAATGGTCATAGAGCAATGATTCAAAACACCAAATTGTTTGATTTTTTGAGCTGAACTCAATGGTATAAATTAAAATTCGATTATTTTACTCTGGAAAGAGTTATTATCAATTTAATGAATAGATGTCACACATGGCGGCCATCTTGGATTTAAGACGTCATAAAAACCAAACCCCGTAATTTGAGGGTAAACACCCGGTACTACACCATTATGTGACATATAATAAAGAGAAACCACATAGTCACACATTCCCTTCACAAAAAATCCCACGGAAGCTGGATATGTGCAGTTTGCTCCTGGACTACATTGTACATAAGCTCCAGTATAAATGAGTGCAACAGTTGTTTCGGTAAGCCGGGCTTGCGGCGCGGCGTTGCCGTCTCGCCACGGCGTTGTAGAGGAGGCTATAATATAATGCATGTACTTCTCTGATTCCGTTGTAAAACCTGAAGTTCATTTGGTTGTGTTTTTACTATTGTGTTTAGCTACGTTTGATTAAAGTCATGGTGACTAAATATATCTTAATCTAAGGTAGATTTTACGATTTCCCCCTTCTTTGGTGGTCCTATAGCACCAAAGGACAAGCAAAAGCTTTAATTATGGTTAGAGGTTAATTTAAGTAAAATAGTTTTAATGGTGGTTAAATAACAAGAGACAAATAGTAAACCACAAAGTGCTCGGTTTTACAGGATGGAACTACCTTAAAATAGTATATAGCTATTTAGTAATATGATGTATAAGGAAGTATTTTTCATCTATGGCTATTACATGTTTTGTACCTTAAAAAATGTCAATCAAATAAATCGTAGTTTAAAAAAATGAATTTTTTTTTTTTAAAAAGAGTATCAAGCTGAAATTCAACCATTGTGCTATTGACGCAAGAAAGTAAAATGTTTTTATGAATGAGCACATATACTTCGTTAAAAGAGTAAGAGAGTTAGTTATCAAATAAGGAAATATTTATTTGATCTTTAGTACCTATCATGTTTATTTTATGGATAGAAAGAATTTCAGCAAAGAGTTGGCTCAGAATCTTGTTGTAATCATTACTGAATACTATTGGTGGTTAGCAGGATTTGAACCTGCGGAAGTTTTACCCTCCTACCGACACTAATACCCAATACACTAATACTACGAACAATCACTGTTAAGTCTATGTACACCTCATGAAGATAAAAAATATAACAAAAAATCAACAATTACTACTTCAATTATTGATTCATATATTACTGATGATTTTACTATTAATAACAGTGCAGTTTATCCAATAAATATTCTCCTTATGTATACACATACCCAACAGACTCACTAATTCCAATAATATTCCGATCTAGCCCTTTCAAATAAATCTACAATTTTCGCCTAAAAATAAATTAAGGTAACTCAACGTACTTCAGGAAATAAAATTATTAAACGTTTCAAAAAGCAATTCGAAAACGTAAACACCGCTTTAGCACAACATTTGAAGGAAATTGAGTTCACGTCTCCAGCTAAGCCAACTTTCATTAACCACTTGCTAATAACCCTTTACCTTTCTTGTTACTTTCAATGAAACCAAATACTTTCAACAATTACCAATGATTATACAATAAATAGCAATAACCAACCAACAATAATACTATAGTGCTAAAATCACTATACTTACTGATTAAATATAGCGAATAAATAAGAGAAAATTTTTGTTCGTAGTGTGTAAAAATGCTATACAAATATTGGTTGGATACATCTTTATTTAGGGATTAAAGGCATAAAACAAAACTAATATATGATCATGTGTTACTTTAAATTTAGATTAAGACATTTAACAGAGACTAGGTAAGCTATTGTATACATCTTACAATAACCTGGAGATTCCCTTTTATAATAAATTGATATGTTCGTAACTCAATCCTGAAAGTTATACAACATTAAGTATAAAATCTATACAAGATGTCAAAAGTTTAAAAAAAGTGAAAATTTGTATTTTGGTGGGATATAAAGCAGTAAGTATGTGCCATTGATCAAGTTTGTACTGAGTAGATTTCTTATTGACAGTGATGGAAGGGGGAAGGTTTACTATCAACTACTTTTGACATAATAAATTAAAAATAACAGTATTGAAGAATATAAACTTAACTAATAACGTATAAATTCCGATATAGGTAAAACTAATTGTGTGATATCATTCCAAGTGAAGGGTGTTATACTAATCTTCTAATAAATTGTTAATACGCTACAGTATCATAATTGTGGAAAAAAACTAACAATGGTAACCGAGAAGAGAACTTAAAACAGAAGTTATGAATAACGGGGAAAATTTGGTATAATCTTTGGAAAACCCGAAGCTTTTACAACAAAAGTAACCACCCTTTTGGATATTTTTATTTCAGAGTTAATCAAAATGTGACCTAATA